AGCAAATACCAGTTCGAGTACAGATGTACAAATTAGGAAACGTGTTCACTTGCTTTGGGCTCGATCATTTTACTCGTAGTACATTTAATAACATGAAATGGCACTAAAAATCTCCTTGCACTTAACAGGAAACATACCCAGCCTTTCCCGTGTCATCACACTCGTTTGACTTGCTCTCTCCCTCGCCCTCTAGAAAGTTACCTTAAGGCTTATTTAAAATAAAAGCTGTTTGCATAAGAAACACCTTCAACATAAAAGAGGATAGATTTGGAAAATAGCTGCTGGTAAAAGGGTTTCAACACGGGAGTAAAAATTTTCACACTCATACATGAAACAACGTCAATAGCAGAATCTATCAAAGGGCTTAAAAGAGAAAGGTGGGGTTTTTATTAGGTGCATGAATCGCTTCCCTATCTCAGCGGAAAAAAAAAAAAAAAAAAAAAAAAAAAAAAGAGAGAGAGAATTAGACAAACTCATTCGAAAACATTTTAGGAGTAGGTGTATTTCCGAAAACAGTAAGCAAACAAGCAAGCAAACAAAAAAGTGATTTTCTGCTCGCTTAGTAAAAATACCACAGACTACTAAAATTCACGTTCACTTAAACGTGACTATTATTTTGCAGATGGCTCTAAAACTATCACCGCTTAAAAAACGATTATCTACATCTTATGCAGAGTAAAATATATATTGCTTATATATATTAGGAGAGTAATTACAATCATAAAGGTAAATATTTTCAAGTACTATTCAAACAGGGGAGAGGCTTGGAAATCTTACTTTCTGCTGGCAAGCATTCAAACTATTTGCTTTAATAACATTGTAGAAGAAATACTCCACACCTCTGCCGGATACCTGAGCAGATGCATCAACTATTATCTGAGCACATGCAGTCTAGTATTAAAAAAAAAAAAAAAAAAAAGTGAAATAGTGCCTCTCCCCAGATGTACAAAATCGTGGTGCGGTATTTCTGATAATCCATCACATCTCTTATCCGAAGTATTACCATTCTTGGGAAGGGGAAAAAAAAAATGAAGGAGATGCACCGTTTACAAAAATCTATCGCAATGCATATCTTAATAAAAGCCTTGAGGTAGATAGTGAAACGCAAGCACTACCGAAACAAATAAATTTTACGCACAAGACGACGGACAGATAGCTGAATTGTGTTATGCATGGAAATACAGCCCAGACACAACTCAGCAACTACGTTTCTGTTAATTAAAAGCTTAACCTTGTTCTAAACGATAGAAAAGAGAGGGGGTGGAAAGAAAAAAAAAAAATCTAAAGGGCCTGTAGGGTTGTTGCTGTTCAGTTTAAAAGACTAAACGCCCTTTTCCAACATGATCTACAGAAGCTGACACTTAAATGGCAAGAGAGCAAGCTTGCAGAGCAGGCACGCTGGTGCCGAGGTTTCTGCAGTTCCCTCTCCCGAGGGAAAAAATAGTCAGTCCGGGTTTTTTGGGTGATCCTGACCAGGGTTTGCAGCTCGCCAGCCTGACCTGTCAAGCGGATTATTTTAGAGGGAGATTAATAGGGGAGGCGGGCTGCAATAATAATCGTTTTGTTTGATGTGACAACTTTGATAGGCGTTGATTTACTTACAAACTGATAGGCTTTTAATTGAGCGCCTCCATCCAGCTTGAGATGAAAGGAAAACCGCATTGAAAAGCTGCCCGAGTGCCCTCGAGCCTCAATACTGATTAGCCATCTCGACAGTGAATAGTTCAAGGCATTTTCAAACTTTTTTTCCTCTCTCGCTCTCGCTCTCCTCTCCTCCTCAAATATCTGCCAGCCCACTCCTTTTTAAGAGAAAATAAATCATTTCCATTGTGTGCAAATAAAATCGACTTGACATGCTTGCCAATAGCTGGTAGGTAAAGGAAAGTGTGGACTGGCACTTGTTAATTAATTCCTCCTTTGCTCTCCTTTTTTTTTAAGTTACAATTTTCCTTTGTAAGAAGAGGAAGACGGGTTCCAACCCTTGGGTTGTTTTTTTGGTTGGTGTTTTTTGGGGGGTTGGGTTTTTTCTTTCTTTTTTTTTTTTTTTTTTTATTTCTTTTAAAGAGAATAAAAGCAACAGCCGCCAAAACTTCAACAAGACTACACAAGTAAATGCCAAACAGCAAACAGTCTGCACGGAGTCATTAAACAAGGATACCTCGCGAAGGTAACGAGCAGGACGGAATCCTTCTTCTTCATCTCAAGAGCGGAAAGGAGCCCGCAGCAGCCAAAACAAAACCTACGCGCCGTTTTCCCGCGGCAGCCCCGCGCCCGCCCGCCCCTACGCGTGGGCATCCCGACTCCGAGACCCTCGCTGGAATCGTTTTCTGCGTCTGCTAAGCGCAGGGAATAAGCTCTCATAGCTCAGAAATGCTTTGGAGGGGGCAAGGGGGAGGGGATGTCTTGGGGCTGATTTTTTTACAAGCTTCTACATAAAAAGTTTACAGTACTGAGTGTGATTTAAATCTCATTTCAAAGGCTGAGCGAAAGAAGGGAAAAAAAAAAAAAAAAAAAAAGCTGTCCTCTGAAGTCACTAATTAAATTACCCTCTGATGCTTCTACTTCAGCCAGAAAGATCGGGGTTCGTGCTGCTCCCCCTTTCCTTCCCCCCACTTTTTCCGTCGGTGCGCTGCCTGTTTTACACATGTACCGGGTATCGCCTTTGCTTCGCCGGTTTACAACCAAAACGACCCCTTTCAGAAATCACCCTCACCTCCACAAGAAAAGAGAGAGGGAAGGGAAAATGGGGAGGGGGAAGCCTTCCCACAGCTGACTCTACCTTAAGACAATTAATCTTTAGTCTTTCACCCTGGGAGGCAGGATAAATACAACGAGAAAACAGATAGGAGTCTCCCCGGTCCTGTAAGGAAAACAGCTGTTCCAAGCACTTTAATGCAAATGAACACAAATGAAGGTTTCAGCTTTTTTTTTTTTTTTTTTTTTTTTTCCTTTCTTTCTTCCAGAGTTTTACTGCACTCCATTTATCAATTGGACTTGACAACAAAAGAAAGAACTGGGGGAAAACCTGGGGCAGATTCAAGTCACTTCCACTCTATATAAAGGAAGGGGGGGGAGTTCCTTGAGGGCAAGTGGTGGGTCTTGTCAGTCCTATTGCAATATCGGGTTTTATGCAAGCTTGCTTTCTCTACCCCGCCACCTTTTAATTTTCACGGTCTTGTAAAATGACCGCGGTGGTTGCAAAATGAAAGTACGTTTATGACTTTCCACTGAGAAGTTGTGGCAATAAGTTCTACACTTTCAGAGAAAATACAGAATTTTAAAAGTTTGTTAAAATTAATTTTGCCTCTATAGAAGCTAGAGGAGTTCCGCATATTTACCCTACTCTATACAGTTTATTTTAAAAAGTAAAGTGGTTTTAATAAAAGACAGCAGATATACTTACTTGGCTGCAGGATTTAAAGGGTACCGCTTTACGGGGCGGGGGGAGGGGGGGAAGACATCTAGGAAAACCTGCCTTATGTCTAGCTCGTAAGAAGAGCAGATCATTAAAGGCTATCTGACACATCTGTTTAGGGAATGGGAGAGATCGGTGTTTCAAGGGAAGAAAAAGGATTTGGTTCAGCAGATATAAACTCGAGAAAGTGAAAGTCCTTCCTCTCGCCCACCCCTTCCAGGATCAGCGCCTGTTCTGGTCAGAGTCCAGGTCAGGAATTGGACGCGACCCCTAAAGCACTCGCCTTGTTCTTCACTTGTCAAACGTGTTTTATCTCTAAGTGACCTTTTTGTTAATGTTGTAGATTGTGTGGGCCACCATGTCAGATCCGGAAACAAAAGTAAAAGATTGATTAACACATTTTCCCTGTGAAAAAATGTTAAGGGATGGAAGGGGGGTGGGTAGTGGGATACAAAGTACAAAGGGAAAAGAAAAAGGCAATCCAGGGAGCGACAGAAGGGCTGCGGACCCCGCTCGGGGCATCCGCCGGCACGGTAAAACCGGGGCAGAGGGCAGAGGACTCGGTACGCTTCAGGAGCGCACAGACACAAAGCCGGATGAATATAACGCCCGGGTGGATACCGTGCGCGTACCCACGAGGTTCTCGGCACAGCCTAGCTGAAATCAAACACATCAATGGCGAACAGATGCTCTCGCTAAGGCGAGGGCCACCTCCCCAGGCCCCCGGGACCGGCCCCCGGGACAGGCCGGCGGGTGCAGGGACGAAGGGGCCTTCTTCGAAGAGAAGGAGAAGGGAAGCAGAAGAAGAGCCCGGCAGCCCTCCCTGGCCCCGCACCGCCCAGAGCAGGGCAGCGCGGAGCGCGGCCGGGGAGAGCTGCCGGGCGCTGGCACACAAATCGAGTTTACTCGAAGGATTTATTCCGTAAATTGAATGGCTTTTTCTCCCGAGGAGCTCGTCTCTCCCTCTGTTTTCCTTCCTCCCTCTCTCTCTCTTTCCCCCTTCAAGTCACACCAGGCTTGTAATCAGCAACAAAAGCTGACATAAATCAAGGGCGGATTGACAGGGGCTGACAAATAACTGATTGATTGCGGTTGGGGAGCACTGACAATTGACGGCGGGGCGGAGAGACCCGAAAGGCGGCGGCGGGTGGTGCGTGACAGCCCCGCGTGTGACGACCGGCCTCCCCCAATCCCGCCGCGCGCCCCGCGCCGCCGCAAGCCGCGCCGCAGCGCCCCAGCTCCTGCCTGCCGCGGGCGGCGACGCGCAGGCCGGCGCTCTGCAGGTTCTCGTCCGAGCCTACCCCCGCGTTGTGAGGCGGGAGGGGCGGGAAAAGAGCCCCGCGCCTTCCTCCGGGGGCCCGGAGGGGACGCGGCGCAGCGGAGGCCGCGGAGCTGTCCCGGCGGGCTTGCCGCGGGGAGCGGGGGGGGAAGTGCGGGCCGCGCCTGGAAGCGCCGTGCGCGGCGGGCGGGCGGGCGGCGGCAGGCCGAGCTCGGGGCGGTGTGTGTGCGGCGGGACTGCGCTTGCGGCGGGGAGGGGGGGGGGGGGGGGGGGGGGGGGGGCTGGGGGTGCGGCGGGGCCGGTGGAGCCCCGCGTCTGCCTCCCCCCCTTCCCCCGCCCGGCGCGGCACCCCTAGCCCCACGGCCGCCCCCGCTGCTGTCGGGGTATCCGCGCCGGCTGCGGAGGGAGAAAAACGTTCGCAGCGCGTGATGTGAAACACAGAATTAACGCCCAACCCGTCCTAGGAGCGAAAACAAGGAAGGAGGGGAGGGGAGAGGGAAGGCGGACGAGAAAGGGAAGGGGAAAAAAAAGAGCGAGAGACCATTAAAAACAGAGAAAAAAAGCCCCAGAAAAGGGAACGTCACATCCCCTTGACCCTCCAATCACCTCGGGGTCCCATTTGATTGGAAGGCGGCAAAGGCTTTAATCTCAGACTAATTCAGCTGCTTTTGAAGTGAGTTTCTTTGCCAGATCCCGGGCTGGATGGGCAGCGGCTCGCATCACAGCTGAGCGGCGGAGGCGAGCGCTCCGCTCCGCGCCGCACCGCGCCGCTCCGCGCCAGCCGGGGGAGCCGAGAGCGGCCGAGGGGGGCAGCGGCACACACTCGCAGCCCCCACCCCCGCCCCCAGCACAAGCCCAAGGATTACTCGGCTTTTTTTCCTCCTCTTTCTCTTCGGCCGGCTCCCCCTTTCCCTCCCCCTCCCCACCCACGCCCTCCCCGCCAGAGAGAGCCACGGGACATTTTATGTTTGTTTTCTTGCTCGGGGGGCGTGCGGCTTTTTTCCCTCCTCGCCCGCAGAGAGCGAGCGAGCGTTTCCGAGTGCGAGCGGCGCCACTTGCCCCAGTTTTCATGCGAGGTTTTGGGTCATGATCACATCGCCCTCGCTTTCTGCTATAAGAAGTAGTAAGCGCAGCAGCAGCAGCCTCAGCGAGCCCGGAGGCAGCCCCCGCCGCAGCCGCAGCGCCGCCGACCTCGCCGGGCCGAACGGGCACGCTGGGAATAACGGCAGCAGCGCCGCCGCCAAGCCCTGCTTCCACGCCGTCCCCCCCTCGGACCCGCTACGCCAAGCCAACCGCCTTCCCATCAAAGTCTTGAAAATGCTCACGGCGCGGACTGGACACATTTTACACCCCGAGTACCTGCAGCCTTTACCCTCCACGCCCGTCAGCCCCATCGAGGTAAGGACCCCGGCGCCGGCCCCGGCCCCCCGGCTCTTTCTCCCCTCCCTGCGCGGGCGCTCGGCGGGCATGGCGGCTCCGCCAGCCTCCCTCGGCACTTTCCTGCGCTTTGAAATGCATTTACACCAGGAAACGGGCTGCTTTTGATCTAGAGTTAGTGCGGGGGACCGCTCCTGGTTATCGTTTCCATGTTTACTGGGCAAATTTTTAATTCCTGTGTAAATGAACTTTTTATTTTAGCTCTTTTTAGCATTTTTTTTTTTTTTTGAGAGGAGGGGTGAGTGGAAGGAAACGACCCGCTCCGGGGTCACGATCCGGCCACGCAACTAAGCAGCGCTCTGAGTGCTAAACAACCTTGCTTTTGCAGGGAACGTTTTTGGGGGGGGGGCAGGTTGAGAGGGGGGCGCGGAGAGGGACAGGCTCAAGCGTGGGTGCGGCCGGATAACTATTTCAGCTCCCCGACCGTTCCCTTTCAAGTACCGAGACACGTTTGTACTTCGGGGGCCCTATTCGTCCCTTTTCTACTCTGTCGAGGTTGTCGGTCCCCCTCTGCGTAGCTCGCTGTCTGAGGGACCGAAACTCGAAGCGGAGCGGGTGGTGGGAAGGGTGTGTCCGTGGGAATGAATGATTTCATTAAGGTCTTTGCGGAGCGAGGACACCCCTCTCCCCCGGAGCCCGGCTCGCCGGCTAACTCGGGCTCTGGTTATAAATAGTGTCAGCAGTCAGAGCGCAGAAATGCTGCAGTCGCTATAGTTCACGGCGGGGGGGGGGGGGATGGGGATGGGGGGGTGCTGTTGGGGGGTGGTGTTCGTGCGCCTGCACGGCCGGCGCGGCGGGGAGGCAAACGCCGAGCTCCGCGCTGCCTGGGCCGCTGCCCACGCTGCCGGGAAAGCCGTGGGCGCTGGAGGCGGCCGCGGTGGGCTCGCAGGGATACGAAAACCCCCAGCCCTTTTTAAAGGCTTTGTAGAAAACAGTGCATGCAGGGGAGGGGGCTGTCAGGGTGATGAATGCGCACAAAATTGCTCATTACTTCCAGGCTGTTCTCTGCAAAAACGTACAGGACAAGTGTCCTAGGTATGCCCCGGGGTTTTTCTTAGACGCCGATTAAACCTCTGTCTTTGTGTGTCCTTCTGATTTCCACAGCTGGATGCGAAGAAGAGTCCCCTGGCCCTTTTGGCACAAACTTGCTCGCAGATAGGGAAGCCGGACCCGTCTCCTTCCTCCAAACTCTCCTCGGTCACCTCCAATGGCTCCGGAGGCGACAAGGACTCCAAGTCGGGTCCCTTGAAGCTCAGCGACATCGGTGTGGAGGACAAGTCGAGCTTCAAGCCGTACTCCAAGCCGGGCGCGGAGAAGAAGGAGCCGGGGGCGGCGGGCTGCGCGGGCGCCCCCGCCGCGGGGGTCGCGGCCGGGGAGAAGTCGGGATTCCGGGTGCCGAGCGCCACCTGCCAGCCGTTCACCCCAAGGACAGGCAGCCCCAACTCCAGCGCCTCCGCCTGCTCGCCGGGGCTGCTGCCGGCCGAGGGCAAAGGCGGGGAGGACAAGAAGGACTCGGAGGGCTGCGGGAAGAGCGGCAGCTCCGGCTCAGAGGGAGGCCCGGGCACCACCAGCATCAGCCACAGCCGGATTAGCGTGAGCTGTGCAGGGATTAACGTGGAGGTCAACCAGCACCAGGAGAGCACGCCGGGCTCCAAGCCCATCGCCTCGGACTCCGCCTCCTCCTGCAGCAGCACGACCGCCACCTCCTCCACCTCTGTCCTGGGCTCCGGCCTCGTGGCCCCCGTCTCCCCTTACAAGCCGGGCCAGACCGTCTTCCCCCTGCCCCCGGCGGGCATGAGCTACCCTGGGACGCTGGCTGGAGCCTACGCCGGCTACCCGCCCCAGTTCCTGCCTCACGGAGTGGCGCTGGACCCCACCAAATCCTCCAGCCTGGTGGGGGCCCAGCTGGCCGCCGCCAGCAGCCTGGGCTGCAGCAAGCCGGCGGGGTCGAGCCCGCTGGCGGGTGCGTCGCCGCCGTCGGTGATGACGGCGAGCCTGTGCCGAGACCCGTACTGCCTGAGCTACCACTGCGCCAGCCACCTGGCAGGGGCCGCCGGCGCCTCATGCGCCCACGACCAGGCCCTCAAGTCCGGATATCCCCTCGTGTACCCCACCCACCCTTTGCACAGCGTTCACTCCTCGCTAACCGGCGCCACGCCGCCCTCGCTGGCCGGCCACCCTTTGTACCCCTACGGCTTCATGCTCCCCAACGACCCCCAGCCACACATCTGCAACTGGGTGTCGGCCAACGGACCCTGCGACAAGCGCTTTGCCACCTCGGAGGAGCTGCTTAGCCACTTGCGGACCCATACTGCCTTCCCGGGCACCGATAAACTCCTCTCTAGCTATCCCAGCTCCTCGTCGCTGGCCAGCGCGGCAGCCGCGGCCATGGCGTGCCACATGCACATCCCCACGACGGGCGCCCCGGGCAGCCCAGGCACGCTGGCCCTGCGCAGCCCGCACCACGCGCTGGGACTCGGCAGCCGCTACCACCCCTACTCCAAGAGCCCCCTGCCCACCCCCGGGGCCCCCGTGCCCGTGCCTGCCGCCACCGGACCCTACTACTCCCCTTATGCACTCTACGGGCAGAGACTCACCACAGCCTCGGCCCTGGGGTACCAGTGAGCGCAGGCAGTGGGGCTTTGGCACACAACACAGCATAGAGTCTAGCGGTGAGGGAAGGAAGCCCTGCGAAACTTTATAAAAGTTGGAAAGGAAAAAAAAAAAAATCTGACTTTTTATAAAATAGTGTTCATTTGAGGACTGGATCCATGAGCACTGTATTTATTTATGTTAGCTTCAAGCGGGACAACGAATCATAAAGTGCATTACTTAACTGAGCTCAATAGGTAAAAGTGGAACACCCATTGTAGAATATAAATAAAAAGATAGAGGTCTTCTCTTTAATGTTACTTTAAAATTGCTATGATTGTATTGTACGTTCTTATTTAATGTCTCATTGAAACAAAAACAAATTTACATGCATGTTTGTTACTAAAAAACAACTCGCAATTTGTCAGTTATAATTTCAAATTGCAATTATTTTTAAGGTGTATACCCTTGAAAGAGAATTGGTATTTTTTTGTATGTATTCTGGAAGAAAAACAAAAACAATTCTATTCCAAAAACCTCATTTGCCTTATTTTGTTCTTTAAAAGGAACACTTAACTATTTTTAATTTTTAAGTCCACCCTGTAAAAAGGGTTAAGTAAGGTTTACGTCATGTACTAAAATAGACAATGTATCGCTTTAAAGATTAAAATTCCGTATATTTGATGTATTAAAAGGTTTTACTTTTTTTTTTTTTTTTAATACGCTTTGATTCTGTTATAAAACCCAAGTAGGTCTTGGATGGAGGCAACTGCTAATTTCTCCTTAAGCGTTTATTCAATTTTAATTAAAAATAAAAAAAAAAAAAACCAAAAACAAACCCAAAAGTTTTTTTATTGTAACCCCAGGGCTCTCTTAAAAAATTAAAAAAAAAAAAATCAGATGAGAGTATTTTTTTTCCCTTCAGTAGAATTCATAGGCACAAAATAGGAAAACTGAGAATCAGTTAAATCTCTTATTTACCTAAGGAAGATTAACTTTTTTAAATGTTTTTACTGTGAAAGCCTGTTTTTTAAAAATGGGTTTCAGTTAAAAGGCTTCGTTCTTTAGTAAGAAAGGGGAAGGCAGAACTTATTTGTAAAAGATTAAGAAGATTATCTGAGAACTTTTTTTTACAGTGTAATGCATAACTATTCATCTCTCTTTCTAAATGAGAAGTTCAGAAGCAATTACGGAAGCGCTATTTGATCTCATCCAGTTATTTTCAATTTATTTCTTCAGTTTCTACTGCAGCACAAACGATCATCACGTTTAAAAAAAAAAAAAAAAAAAAAAAACAAACAACCAAAAAAATCACAAACAAAACCGGACAGCTCTGAGAACTCATTTTCTTTTTAAAAAGTAAGGGAAGGGGGAAAAATAAGAAGTCCAGCCATTATTTAGTCCGAGTTTGCTCTTTGCTGAAGTGCAGTGCCAAACTCGACGTGATGCCGAGAGGGGCTGCCCCTGCCTGCGCCGCGTCCCTGCCGCCCAGCCCGGGCTGCCCAGCGCCCACCGCCCGGCTCCGGCTCGTCGTCCTGCACCCAGGTAGGAGCGGGAGCTGCGACGGCAAAGCCAGAGCAGCTACCGAAACTGCGGAGCAAACCGTCGCCGCCGCGGCAGTCGGAAAAGCGAGTCCCGAGCCCGTAAAGGCGACGGCAGCGACGGGCTTTGCTCCCGCGGTCTGCAGGCGCTTGCAGGCGGCGGCTCAGGCGGAGCCGGGTACCTGCCGTCCCCCGGCCAGCCCCGCTCCCCCCGGCCCCTGCGCGACGCGCTGGCAGGGCGAGAAGTTGCAAGCGGCGACTTTGCTTGACGCTGGCTTTTCTCCCTCGTTCTGTATCCCCCACAACATAATTACTGTTCAAAGTTTCCCGCGGTGCCCAGATGCTAATTAGTCTAATACATTTACTCCAGATAATTAGTGGAAGTTAGCGTTAATGTGCAAAGGAGAGAAAAGCAGCAAGCTAATGAAGCTCCGGCGCTCGCCCGGCCGTCCCGGCACCCGGCGCGGAGCGTCTGCCGGGGCCGGGCCGGGGCGCACCCGGGGCCGCCGGGCGCCGGGCCACGCCACGCCACGCCGCGGCTCCGCTGCTGGGAACGCTGATCCGAAAGCGACACGGAAAATGCTTTGTGCTTTAACCAAATGTATGTTTCCCCCTGCTCCCTTAAATGAGAAAGGGACCATTGCGTATCTCTGCTTTAGGGAATGTAAAATGAGCTCTCGTTAGGAACTGATGAGTTAGAGAATGGGAGGGGAGAGCAATGCTGTTAACTACACCAAGTAAACTTTAATAATAAAATAGGAAGCGGTTACAAAACACAGCAAGTAATCGAAAGAAGGGCTCCTCGGGTCGGGGATGGGGGTGGTGGAGGATTCATCCAGCGAGACCACGAAAGGCAGAGCAAACTCGCAACCCCCCGCCCGCTCCCGCAGCGCGGCTGCCGTGCGCTGGCCGGGCAGCCCCCCAGCCTGCCCTCCCCGCCCCGCTCTTTTAACTACCCTTCATTTGAAGAAAATTACATTTACAGGCTCCATCTGGGTGTGCAAGCAACTATTACAGATTTGCCGCGATTAAAGAACACCACCACCGCACACGCTCCTCTCCTGTTCGCGTATTTTACAATTACAGATTTCTAGCAGCTGCAGCTCGGACTCCGCTCGCTAAACCCCATCAGCAATCAGGTGTTGCAGGGCCTATTTTAAAAAGAGAGTGAGGGGGATTTCTGTGCCCTGGAGCCCGAACTGCAGTTTTGTGGATTTCAGTTCTGAAAAGTTATACACGTCAAGATACCTGATGCAAGTGATTAAATGAACACTTAACATTATTATTACTGTTTTGCTCAGACACTGTCCCCGAGACTAATGAAAAATTAAAATATCTTATTTTCTATGTAGAGTGGTGGTAAGGAGGTATCTATTCCAGGCTTGTTAAGTATTTGACCTGGCAAGTGTCGCCTAGGATTTTTACATTAATCTAGGAAATTTGCCTTTTTTTTTTTTTTTTTTTTCCCTAATAGAGATTGACTTATGGACATTAATGTTTTTAGGTAAAAGGACTGCATTCGTTATTACCCCCCACACCCCCCTTCTTACTAACTGGATGGGTTGTGGAGTTGACAGCAGCCGCTGGTCCGTGCCACCAAACTAAAATAATTTCACTGTGAAAAACCAGCTTGAGAGGACAAGCAACAGAAGGGCAAAACCCATCAAACCCCGAAACTCTGATCAATCTGACCAGAGTCAGGCATACATTAATTTAAATTAAGCAGTTTCGTATTTCTCATAAATCTTTTTTGAACATTAAAGATAAACTCATGTAATATTTAGATCAACTCTTGTCAGATACTAAGTGCAACTGAAAAACCAAAATAAAAACTAATGCTTTTCCATCCCCTCTCAGAGGCTTACTCTGGATGCCACTTCGACAAAATATCTCTGATAAGGAACGCTTAGAAAAGAAGGGCTCTGTTTATCTTATCTATGGAGAAATGTAATTAAGCTAGTTTTATGAAATAATAAAACACCAGACTCCACAGACAGCAAAGGAGTTTCTGTAATATATCTGAGCCTATATGGGCATACGTATCTTGGCTTATGTGTACAAGTCCACACCAAACACATACAGATACATTTGCTTGCCTGATTTGAGAGTGCAAAACGTATGTGAGAGCTAAACTACAGGGGTGCCTTTATGACGGGAAGATTTTCCTCAGCGATAAGAGGCTCCATTTTTCTAAGACCGGAAAGTCACCCGCTGCCCATCCACTACCTTGGAAGCTACCCTCGGCGCAGCCAGAAAGGTAGGCGCGGTGCGGTGGCTGGGGCTGACCTTCCCTCTCTACCGAGACTGGTAAGGAACTGCCCACCTCTACAATCGAAATCACCCAGGCAAAGGGAGTCCCGAAAGGCCCAAGCTTTCCAAAACAAAAGTATATGTGCGTTCCTATCCTGTAAAAACACTGATCAAACTTAATTCTTTCCTATTTAGAAAAGACTGAGAGAAATGCTGCCTTGCTTTAGTACTGCTGGCTCTTACTACAGGCTTTCAGCAGACCGCCGCTTAGGTTTTTCTGTTTGGCTGTTTTTTGTTTTCTGTGTTTGTTGTTGTCTGTTGTTTTTGTTTTGTGTGGGGTTTTTTTGTTTGTTTGGGTTTGTTTGTTTGTTTGAAGAAACAAATCTGAAGTTGGAAAATTGCTGATGTTACCAGCACGAAATCACCTTTCCATCCAGATTTTTGATATAATTTCGGACATTTCTAACGCCAAGGTGAGACCCCCACCCCGAGATTCTCTCTGCACCGCGAAGCACAGCCCGCACTGCTTCATGAACAGACCTCCAGCAGGCAAGCGATCAGTTCTGATCGGAGGTGTCTAATCCCTGCTAAATCTCTCTCTCAGCTCAGTCCTAGGAAATTCGGAGCAGATTGCCCTTTTTTGTTTGTTTTTAAGGTAAAATTTTGTTGCATTAAAACATAAAGGTGTCAAAAGAAAAAAGACGGACTCTGAGGGCGTATGCTCCCATGTCTTCAGAGGTGGAATGCTTTGGCAGCAGAGACGGGGTTGAAATTTGAGCAGATTACACATTTGAGCCTGTGCATAAATGCGAAAAGACTCCTAATGCTGGGTATTTCTCCACCAAGATCAACCAGGTGCTGCTGCTGATGCAAAAATCCCACCTCCGACCGCTTGTTCCGTGCGTGTGTGTGAGTGCACAGCGATGCACAGACTTTGTTCTCTCTTCATGTCTGAAATTCATCAACCGCTCCCCCCTCCCAACCACCCCGTCCCCTATGTGAAAAAAGCAAATCCGTTCAGGCTTTGAATATTGTAAGAATCCTTGTGTGGCTTTTTTTTTTTTTTTTTTTTTTTTAAATCTTCAAATGAATTCAAGACAACCTGACAATGCTGTCATCTGTCTTCAACGTCACATCAAGGCAAGAAATAATGATAACAGAGCAGCAGAAAGACGCCCACTGAAACCTGGAGGATATATATACACATATATATACACACATTTATATCTTGAAACAGTTTGAGAAAGAACGAAATTAGATTACCATTCTTAGGCTATCGCGGTAAGAACATGTGGGTTTGTGTTTTGGGGTGGGTTTTTTTTTGTATGTTTGTTTGTTTTTTGGTAAGGGCTTCATCTTTCCTGCTTTACTTTGTGAAGCGCGTGCTTCTTGATCCAATCCAATCCTGTGGGACGGGGTCAGACGACGAGCAAAGCGCATTCCTTGCTCCTGAACTACTACGACCAATGGAAATGCAAAAATATCTCCCCTCCCCCTCCACCCTTTCGGCTTCCCATTCCAGTTAATAATAAACGCTACTGCTTTCCTGAAGCGCGGGCCAGAGCGTGCCATGTCTTGCGTGGAGACCCACGCGGGGACGTTGTGCCGCGCAGCTCCGCTCCCGGGGAGGAACGAGGCGGCTTCTTCCCTTTGTCTTCCCGGCCCCGCCGCGGTCGGGTCTGGCTCCCGGCCGCCAGGCGGCGCTGCGGGGCCCGCCGCCCGGCTCGGCCCCGCCGCCCGGCTCGGCCCCGCCGCCCGGCTCGGCCCCGCCGCCCGGCTCGGCCCCGCCGCCCGGCTCGGCCCCGCCGCCCGGCTCGGCCCCGCCGCCCGGCTCGGCCCCGCCGCCCGGCTCGGCCCCGCCGCCCGGCTCGGCCCCGCCGCCCGGCTCGGCCCCGCCGCCCGGCTCGGCCCCGCCGCCCGGCTCGGCCCCGCCGCCCGGCTCGGCCCCGCCGCCCGGCTCGGCCCCGCCGCCCGGCTCGGCCCCGCCGCCCGGCTCGGCCCCGCCGCCCGGCTCGGCCCCGCCGCCCGGCTCGGCCCCGGGCCCTCT